CCACCCTAAACCCTAAACCCTAAACCCTAAACCCTAAACCCTAAACCCTAAACCCTAAACCCTAAACCCTAAACCCTAAACCCTAAACCCTAAACCCTAAACCCTAAACCCTAAACCCTAAACCCTAAACCCTAAACCCTAAACCCTAAACCCTAAACCCTAAACCCTAAACCCTAAACCCTAAACCCTAAACCCTAAACCCTAAACCCTAAACCCTAAACCCTAAACCCTAAACCCTAAACCCTAAAACCTAAACCCTAAAAAACCCTAACCCTAAACCCTAAAAAGAGCAACGCGCGCAAGCTGCAGCTACGCATGCAGCTGAGCCAGCTGAAGATGGGCGCCACCGACCCCCTGACCAAGTACGGGTCCCGTGCCAAGGAGATCCAAGCCCAGCTGCGCGCTGCCGGCCAGGATGTGGCAGACACCGAGATCGCCTGGTCCGTGATGTCCGGCCTGCCGTCTGCCTACGCAACGATGGCCACCGTGATCACCGCCACCACCGACGGGGACCTGAGCCTGGATGACATCCTGCCCAAGCTGCTCACCGTGGAGCACAGCGAGCAGAAGTCAGAGCGCCCCAGCGAAGAGGCGCTGATGGCCAACGCTCAGGACCGCCACGCCGGGCCGGGCCGTCCAAGCAACCACCCCGGTGGCAAGTCCAAGGGCCCCTGCTTTCATTGCGGCATCCTGGGCCACCACAAGTTTGAGTGTAGGAAGCTGGCGCAGGAGCGCAGCCAGCAGCAGCAGAGGCAGCGGGCCGACCAGTAGCGCCCGCGGCACCAGCAGCAGTGCCCGCACCAGCGGTTTGCCGTTGCCATTGCCCTGCCAGCCTCAGCAGCGCCCCTCTGCCTGGGGCCACCCAGCTGGAAACGGCTGGTTGTCCTCAACACCAGCCGGGGCAGCCAGAACAGGATCAGCGGGAGTAGCCACAACATCAGCCGGAGCAGCTACGGCTTGTTATGACTTGACTTGACTTACAAAGCGGATTCGGAGCCAGCGAGGCTCATACACGCATTGCGGCGGCGTAA